TAATTAGATAGGTAAAAAAATGGAAAGAGAAAGAAAAAGAAAAGAAAGAGAGAGAGAGAGAGAGAAAGGAAGAGAGAGAGAGAGAGAGAGAGAGAGAGAGAGAGAGAGAGAGAGAGAGAGAGAAACAAACATACATACATAAGTTTTGTAAAAATATCAATTTCTCATGGGGTATTAGATGGAAAGTTTTTCCAAGAAAAAACATCATCTAGGTGTAACACGCACACACACACACACACACACACACACACACACACACACACACACACACACACACACACACACACACACGTACAGGCGCACACACACACACGCACACACACACACAGGCACATACACACCCACACACACGCACACACATGTAGATAAATAAGCTCCAGTTTATGATGATTTATATATCTTTGTATTCCAGAAATTGTTTTATGGCAATGATAAAAAAAATGACAACAATAATTATTATTATTATAACAACATAAATTTTTATCTTAACCCATAATAACTTCTGCAAAATGATGATAAAAATATGCCCATAACATCTGCGGTATGATAATAATAACAATATATATATATATATATATATATATATATATATATATAGAGAGAGAGAGAGAGAGAGAGAGAGAGAGTGTGTGTGAGTGAGAAAAAAGAGAGAGAAAGAATAATAATAATAAGAATTGCAATAAAAATAATAATTTTTATCATTAATAATAAAGGATCTGAGTATGTAGATCGGATAGCAATAAACAGTGAAACCGAACACAACATCAATCAATCAAACATCTTCGTACATTATTATTATATGATCATTTATATAGCGCCTATTTAAAACATTCTCATAAATATACAAATATATATATACATATATATACATATATATATATATATATATATATATAATATATATATATATATTATATTTACATAATATACATATATACATACGCAAACGATTGGGTTTGTGTACCCTGATTTGGAAGAAAGAGGAAATTTTTCAAGGTACACCAAAGAAGCAGGCACGAGACCCGACACGGTGTTGGCATCTGAGAATACGAAGTCAGTTATCGTTATTGAGCTGACTGTGTCGTGCAGAGATAACATTCTCAGTAGCCAGCCAGCCACGTCGTAATAACTGCAAAGTACGAGCAGCTGATTCGAGATTCAAACAAGAAGGAATACAAAACCAGGTTCTACGCTGTTGAGGCTGGGACAAGAGCAGCAGTGGGAGCGTCTATGTTTGCACTCTTCAAAGAGTTGGGACTGTCAGGCGGGAAACGTGCAACATGCCTGAAGAAAGTTATTAGTAGCGCTGAGCAAGCTTCGTGCTGGTTGTGGCTGAACAGAAATTTAAAGGAATGTCGGCTGAATTAGCAAGCCTTTATCTAAGAGTTAGAGAGCATTGGGTAGATAATTATGATGAAAATAATAATAATTATTGTTATTGTATTATTATTATTATATCATTATTTTTATATTATTATTATTGTTATATTATAATTATTATTATTATTAATTTATTTCCCAAAGGTCAAAGAAGACGTGCCTATATATACCGTTAGTAGGAGTTGACATAAAAAACCATAGCAATATTAATAATAATTAGTAATAATAATTATTATTATTTTTATTATAATTAAATAATAAAATTTATAATAATAAATAAAAATATTTGTTTTTATTTTTCTTATTTTATTTATAGTCAGATGACGGCAACCAGAAGATCAAAGGAATTATACCAGTAAATTTCTAATCATCTTCTTATTATTATTATTAACAATAAAAAAAATAATAACATTAATTATAATAATAATTATTATTATTATTATTGTTGTTGTTAAATATGTTTGCAGGCCGAATCTGAAATAAAGCGTGTTAAGACGGTATGTCAAATAGAAATTTTCATTCATCGTCTTACTCTTGTTCTTCTTCTTGTTCTTCTTCCTATTATTATTATTATCATCATTGTTGTTATTTTTATTATTATTAATTATTATTATTATTATTATTTTGATTGACAGCTGATCGTGACGAAGGACGATTTGGCAGAGGAGAAGGAGATAAAGGATTTGTTCCGGAAAATTTCCGGTAGAAAACAATAAAAATAATAATAATGAAATAATAATGTCATTAATAATAATAATTATTATTATTATTATGATATAATAAATAATAATAATAACATAATAAATAATTATAATTATTATTAACAACTTCTTTACCTCAAGGCGATGATATGGAAGTTGACTGCTACGAGCTCATGGATCTGTTGGACAAGAACTTTAAACCAGGCAATGACGTCAATTATAAATAATAAAATAATAATAATAAAATTAAAAGGATAATAATAACAATAACGGTCTAAATGGTTAAGCTGCCTGGCTCTGGTGTCGCAGTGACTGTGTTCAATTGCGAAGTGATCCTTGACTATCACACGCACTGTGTGTCTGTGTGTGTGTGTTTGCTGTGGATAATATACTTAATAATACATAATACTAATTATTATAATTAATAATAATAATAATGAATAATAATAAAGATAATATTTTTCCAAACAGAGTTTAAATTTGATGGATTCAGCCTTGACACTGCCAGATCCATGGTGGCCATGATGGATGTAATTATAATTATTATTATTTATAATTATTTGTATAATTATTAATATTATTCATAATTGTTGTTATTATTATTTTTTTATTATTCATAATTTTAGACGGATCACTCGGGCAAGTTAGGTTATACGGAATTCAAGAAATTATGGAAGGACATTAGATTATGGAGGGTACTCCATTCATTTATTTACTCCTTCGTTCATTCATTTATTTCTTCTGTTATTCATTCACTCATTTATTCTTTTGTTCGTTCGTTCATTCGTTTGTTCGTTTGTTCATCTGTTCGTTCAGTTATCTATGCGTCTATTCGTTCTTTCGTTCGTTCATTCATTTACTAATTTATTTATTCATCCATTCGTTTTTTTGTTAATTTATTCATTTATCAATCCATCTATCCATCCATCTATCCATTCATTCATTTGTTCATTCATTTATTTATTCATCCATTTTTTTTGTTTATCCATTCGTTCATTCATTCATTCAGAAAGTCTTCATCCAGTACAATAAGAGCGATATATCAACGCTGGACAGCTTCGAGTTGAGATCAGCTCTCAGTTCTTCAGGTCGATTTGATGATGATGATGATGGTTATGATGATGATGATGATGGTGATGGTTATGATGATGATGAGAGCCCACACATCTACACACACACACACTCACATATACACACACACACCACATACACACACACACACACACACACACTCA